TTCTGCTCTAATCTTTATTATGTCCCTCCTTCTACTGAGTTTGGGCCTCATTTGTTCTTCTTTTTCTATTTTCATTAATTGTGAGTTTAGACTGCCTATATGGGATTGTTCTTCTTTCCTGAGTTAGGCCTGTGTTGCAATATACTTTCCTCTTAGCATGGTCTTGGCTGCGTCCCACAGTTTTTGCAGTGTTGAATTATTGTTGTCATTTGTCTCCATATATTGGTTGATCTCTGTTTTTATTTTGTCATTGATCCATTGGTTATTTAGGAGCATGTTGTGAAGCCTCCAGGTGTTTGTGGGGGTTTTCATTTTCTTTGCTTAATTTATTTCTAGTTTCATAACTTTGTAGTCTGAGAAACTGGTTGGTAGAATTTCAATCATTTTGAATTTACTGAGGCTCTTTTTGTGGCCTAGTATATGATCTGTTCTTAAAAATGTTCCATGTGCAATTGAGAAGAATGTGTGTTCTGCTGCTTTTGGGTGTAGATTTCTGTAGATGTCTGTTAGGTCCATCTGTTCTAATATGTTGTTCAGAACCTCTGTGTCCTTACTTATTTTCTGTCTGGTTGATCTGTCCATCAGAGTGAGTGGAGTGTTGAAGTCTCCTAGAATGAATGTATTGCATTCTATTTCCCCTTTTAATTCTATTAGTATTTGTTTCACATATGTAGGTGCTCCTGTGTTGGGAGCATATATATTTATAATGATTATATCTTCTTGTTGGATTGACCCCTTTATCATTATGTAATGTCCTTCTTGTCTCTTGTGACTTTCTTTGTTTTGAAGTCTTTTTTCTGATACAAGTACTGCAACTCCTGCTTTTTTCTCCCTATTAGTTGCATGAAATATCTTTTTCCATCCCTTCACTTTTAGTCTGAATGTCATGGGTTTAAAATGAGTCTCTTGTAGGCAGCATATTGATGGATCTTGTTTTTTTATCCATTCAGTGACTCTATGTCTTTTGATTGGTGTATTCAGTCCATTTACATTTAGGGTGATTATCAATAGGTATGTACTTATTGCCATTGCAGACTTTAGAATCGTGGTTACCAAAGGTTCAAGGTTAACTTCCTTACTATCTAAGAGTCTTAACTCACTTAATATGCTATTACAAACATAATCTAAAGGTTCTTTTCTTTTTCTCCTCCTTTTTCTTCCTCCTCCATTCTTTGTATATTATGTATCATAGTCTGTACTCTTTGTCTGTCCCTTGATTGACTTTGGGGATAGATAATTTAATTTTGCATTTGCTTAGTTAAGTAGCTTTTCTACTTTCTTTGCTGTGGTTTTATTACCTCTGGTGACAGCTATTAAACCTTAGGAACACTTCCATCTTTAGCAGTCCCTCTAAAGTAGAGATGGTTTGTGGGAGGTAAATTCTCTCAGCTTTTGTTTATCTGGAAATTCTTTAATCCCTCCTTCAAATTTAAATGATAATCTTGCTGGATAAAGTAATCTTGGTTCTGGGCCATTCTGCTTCATTGCATTAAATACATCATGCTACTCTCTTCTGGCCTGTAAGGTTTCTGCTGAGAAGTCGGATATTAGCCTGACGGGCTTTCCTTTGTGTATGAACTTATTTCTCTCTCTGACTGCTTTTTATAGTCTGTCCTTGTCCTTGATCTTTGCCATTTTAATTATTATATGTCTTGGTGTTGTCTTCCTTGGGTCCCTTGTGTTGGGAGATCTTTGTATCTCTGTGGCCTGAGAGACTTTCCCAGATTGGGGAAGTTTTCAGCAATTACTTCCTCAAAGACACTTTCTATCCCTTTCTGTCTCTCTTCTTCTTCTGGTACCCCTATAGTGTGAATATTGTTCCATTTGGATTGGTCACACAGTTCTCTCAATATTCTTTCATTCTTAGAGATCCTTTTTTCTCTGTGCCTCAGCTTCTTTGTATTCTCCTTCTCTAGTTTCTATTTCATTTATAGTCTCCTCCACCATATCTAATATGCTTTTAATTCCCTCCATTGTGCTCTTCAATTATTGGATCCCCAACTGGAATTCATTCCTGAGTTCTTGAATATCTTTCTGTACCTCCATGAGCATGTTAATGATTTTTATTTTGAACTCCCTTTCAGGAAGAGTCATGAGGTCCATGTCATCTTCTCAGGAGTTATATTAATTTTACTCTGAACCAGGTTCCTTTGGCATTTCATATTTGTATATGGTGCGCTCTAGTGTCCAGAAACTCTACTCTCTCGAACTGCTCAGCCCCTGAAGCAATGTTGGGGGTCAGGGAAGTGGTATTGGTGCCTGGTTGGAGGAAAGAGCTGTTTCCTGCTTCCTGGCTGGTATGCCTGTCTCCACTGCCTGATCCAGTGGACCAAGCACACAGGTATAAGCCTCTATGCTTTGTGTTTGTAGTTGCTGTAGACAGATCTTCCCTCTGGCTGCCTTAATGCCATGGTAGGGTTTTCTGATTTGTGAGCCAGGTGGGGCTAGTGGGAGAAAGGTGCAGTAGGCTGCCTAACCTCAAGGGGGTCCTTGTTGCTGTGTAGTCAGCCAGGGAGCTGGAGCACCTGGAAATCATGAAAGCTCCCAACCTGCTAGGCAGAGTGCACCTGGACAATTTTGACTACCTGTCATTTCTCCTGAGCAGTAAGCTCTGTGCAATCCTTGCCCCTTTAGCAGCCATCTTGCTAAGGGCTTCCTTGTTAGGAAGTCTCTCAGACTGCCCACCTTTCTTTTGTCCCAGAGCAGCCAGATATGGATCTCTGCTTTCCACAAGCAGCTGGAATCTCAGTCTCTTCAGGAATTCTTCCTGTCTTAGCTTTCCAGTCCCCCAATCATGAGAGTATCATGAAAGCACCATGAAATGTAGGTTTGTGCTCCCAGAGCAGATCTCCAGAGATAGGTATTCAGCAGTCCCAGGCCTCCACTCCCTCCCAGCTCTGATTCTCTTCCTCCAGCTGGTGAGCTGGGGTGGGGGAAGGGCTTGGGTCCCACCCAGCTACAGCTTTGGTACATTACCCTGTTCTGTGAGGTCTGCTCTTTTCTCCAGGTGTATGAAGTCTGGAGCAGTCCTCTTTCCTGGTGCTCTTTCAGGATTAGTTGTATTATATTTTCATATTATATGTGGTTTTAGGAGGAAGCCTCTGTCTCACTTCTCATGCCATCATCTTTCATCCCTGTTATTCCTTTTTCATTTATTAGCTGCAATACTTCTGTATCCAGTGAATGTATAAAATATTTGAATACCCTGAGCTATATTTCCTATAGGAAAGGCAAGATATGTGTTTGCTTTTTTCCTATTATTTTTCAAAAAAGTATTGGCTTCGTAGTATCTTCTATTTTCTTCTAAAGGTGATCAGTGAGTGTTTTGCTTTTCATTTTTTAGCTTAAGCATATTTAATGTGTTGTAATCCACTGTAGTTGTTATTATTAATGCTCACATTGTCCCAGTTTTGGCCAGGTGAAAGAGAAAATTTGAGAATATAACTTAGTTTTGGATGTATTAAATCTGAGTTGCTTTTGGGCATCCATGTGAAATTACCGAGCAACTGGTAGTGAAGAATATGATATTTAGGAAATAAATAGAAGCCACCATACCTGGTTGAAACCAGGAATATGCACAAGACTCTAGAGAGCGGTAAAGTATCGGAATTTAGGAGGCACTAATATTTTAAGTATTTTGGGAGGAAAAAGAACTAAAAAAAGATCAAGAAAAGAAGTGAGGATAGAGAAGTAGATAGAACCAAAATTGGATGCAGGTAGGGAAGAAATATCTAGTGTTGCTAGTTGCCTTAATTTTTTTCAATGAAAAATCTTGCCTATAGAACATTTGGCATAGAGATATTTATTAATTTGTTATTGATTATAAACTTTAATCTCAGAACACAAATTCAAACTCAGAGCCTGTTCTTTTCCACCACAAGCTACCTCTCAGGTGGCCACTGGCAGACACTTACCAGTGGTGCCCCCTATAGTCAAGCAGGTAAGAAGCCAGTGGAAAAGAAGCTGCTGGGAATTTGAGTGCTTCAAGTAGCATGTTGCCATAGAGCCAGTTTGCAGTAGATTGAAGTGTGAGCTAATGTGCAAATAAAGCAAGAACTCTACTTCTAAAAAACTGATTTGATAAATCTCTGGGAGGAATATAAAGACCTTTCTTCCTCTGATACAAGAAGGTATCAGGAGTCATCAAAACCTATATTAACTTAGCTCTTGTCATAAAATGTTACACACATTCAAGTGTATGGAGTGGGATTATGAGAGAAGAAAGATCACAGAATTTACCAAGTAGATGAGGACTGCTTACACTAGATGAAAATGGTTTTGGAGATGATGAATGATTTAGTTTTTCATCTTTAAAACACTTGAAAATGTGAATACAGTCTTTAGTTGCCTTCTTAACTTAGCACTAAAGCAACAGAGTCACAGCAGGAAAGCCACCCTGGCAGCTGACTGAATTAAGAGAGCACAGACCGTTACAAGCAAGGGAGAGCTCTGCTGATGTAGGAAGGCTTGGTGGCGCCGTGCTCTTGAGTCTTGTGATGGCACTGCATAGTCCATTTACTGTGCCACTCCTGTCTTCATGGTGGTTAAAGCAAATTGCAGATACCATTACTCCAAACTTGCATGAGACAGCAGAGCTTCAAATGTAAAGTGTCTGTATTGATGTATGGTGCAGCATGTCATATAGCTCAGCCCCTCCACCCCCAGTGACCTCTTGGTATCCACCTTAATTGGATGCAAAGAAAGAGAAGCATATTTTCAAATATTTTCTGTACCAAATACAGTTCTATGGTTCCTTTTCTAATTTTTTTTCCCCTTTTCTAATTTTAAAAGCAGCTAAGTTAAAAGCAACTTAAGTCAGTGTTTTGAAGGGAAACTTTAAAAAAAAGTCTTATCAGAAAGCCTTTCTTACCCTTTCTGCCTTTTGGAGGATAATAGGCTCCTGTGCTCAGTGTAAATCTTTCAAATTGGAAGTTGTCATTGATTCTGTTAAATCGCAAGTTCAGTAAGTAATTTAATTTTGGTTCTCCACCCCTCTCCAGGATGAACTGGTGTCCAAGTCTAGAACTCGATACTATGTGAACTCTCAGCAACACAGAGTGAAAAACCGAGTATGGCAGACTCTGCTGGTCCTCTTCCCCAGATTTGATCAGGTATGATACTGTTATATTTATATTTTAAGCATAACATTTTCATATGAACAAACTAGTAGAAACTGTCATGTGCTGTTTTAAAACTGAGAAAATAATCTGCTTAAAATGTATACTTCTTGAAGTTATTCAGAAGTTTCTTTTAATAGAAAAAAATACTAAGGCAATTAAGTATTGTGGAAATAAAGTAGAAACTGGTTAACATGGCCCTATTTAATTTTTTTCCTTCATTATTTTAATGTACATAATATTTTAACTGTTCAAAGTCTCCTTTGCTATTTGGTTAGAAAATATAAATATGTTAACTGCAAATTTTCCATAGCTAAGTTATTTTGGAGTGTTACTGTTTTGGATTATCCATGTACTCTAGAAACCAGGTAGATTTGCATCATTTAGGATGGGACTGTCATTTCCCATGGTTGATTTTTTTTTTGCCCTTAATTTCATGGATAGTGTGGCTATGCAAACCAGTTAAGCAAAGTCCACAATCTCTGTCTCATACAACAGTCTCTTTATCCAGTTACCTTTTCTCTTACCTGAGGAGGCAGGGAACAGGCATGTGGACTGTCTGTTTATTTGCTTAATATTCCTGTTAAGATAATAGATTATGAGAAAGTGATGGTCTATATCACACAATTTAAACTTTGAAAGCATTTTTGAATGCAGAAAAATTTCCTCAGACTTGAGTTTCCTAAAGTCTTCCCCATCCTCTCATATGTTTCAGAGAATTTTAAAAACATCAGACTTTTAAAATACAATTTTAGGAAGCGTTCTCCTGTGAATTAAATATTTCAGTAGCTAAGTATATAGGTATATCTGAATAAACTGTTTGGCTAAATGTAAGAGAAAATAGATGGAAGAGTTCTTTCTGGGGAATATTGCTGCTAATTTCCATCATGGGCCTTTTAATGTTTTATTTTATTACTGTATATATTGCACTTCACTATACATAACAACGAATTTAAAAAAATACTTAGGAATGTTGTACTAGGTCACTGAGAGCATTTTTTTTTCATGGAATGGACAGGCCCAGAGAGAGGGCTAATGTTGGAGGGTGGGGGATGTTGGAGCAGGCAGGGACTGTAAGGAAGAAGAAGACTAGAGTCTGTCATGGAGCAGCCACTGCTAAGAATTTTAAGTTGTTATATGTTAAGGTTTCATTTCACCTTCATAATAGTCTTTCAAGGCAGACCATAAGTATTCCCATTTTACACGTAGGAGCCCCGGAGCTCAGAGAGATGGGTGACCTACCGTAGGATAACACCGCTAGCGAATGGTGGAGATGGAATTCAAAACCAGGACTGACCTAAGTTCATGCTCAACTTAAAGAACTGCCTCACAGGCTTAAAATGAGCTTTTCTGCACTTCAGAAAATTAGGAATTTTTAAAAGGTAGATTCTTCTACTTTGAAGTAAAGAGATGTACATGATAATTTTTTTTAATGTTATGTAAGTAGATATTTTTTTTACCTGCTACTTGGATATGTTCAGTTGCCCATATAGAAGCACAAGTTTGAAAGACATGAGTGGTGCAAAGGAGAATGATTTTGGAGCTCAGGGCCTTGCCCAGAAGACCTGGGAGGCTGTGCAGGCAGAAGGATGACCAGTCCAAAAACAGGGAGCAAGGTACCCCAGCCCTGCTCCACATGGCCTCCTGCTGAGTTCGGCCTCTTTCATCATTGTTCTGAGTTTGAAGCCCATGGCATCTTGGCAGATGCTGATTTAAATCTGAATTCTGCCACTTAAGTAGGTGTGTGGCTTTGAGGAAGTTATTTAGCTTTTCTGAATCTTTTCCTTTCCCTATAAAAAAAAAATACAGATTAATAACCTGCCTCATAGAATTGATGTCCAAGTAAAATGTAAAGTACTCAGTAAAAGTACCTTAGTGTTATATTTCAATTAACAGTTTTTAGGGTCGTTGCTTGGAGAGTTAAAGATTCAATAATTACTTAGAGTAAAACTTTCAGCTGTTATTTTTTAATGGCAATTTAAAAAAAATTAAAATTAATAGCTATTTTCAAAATTGCTAAGAGACTAAATCTTAACTCTTACCACTACTAAGGAGAAATGATAATTATGTGATTTGATGGAGTCTCTGGTGGTAATCATATTGCAATATATAAATGTATCAAATCAATATGTTATACCTTAAACTTACATGATATTATATTTCATTTATATCTCAATAAAAATAAATTAAAAAAAATTAATAACCATAGCATAACAGTTTAATTTGTGAACTTTATTCTTCTCAGAATTTCTTGAATAGAATTGTTGACAAGATCTTCCAGGCTGGCTTCATCAATAATCAGGCATCCATAAAATATTTTATAGAATGGATTATTATATTGATTCTTCATAAATTCCCTCAGTTTCTTCCAAAGTTCTGGGATTGTTTTTCTTATGTAAGTAAAGGAGACTTTTCATATTTTTTTAAACTAAGTAAAGATTTTGGCTATGCTGGGAGATTTGTTTCATTTTAATAGTTGGGTTTTTTTTTACTATCAATTGCCCTGTACCTAATACGTTTACATCCTAATTTAGGAGACAGAAATCCTGGGTGTTTGTCTTGAATACTTCTTAGTTTTCATTTGAGCTCTTCTATTCCAACAAAACGAAGATGGCAAAGGCTTTCATTATTGAGAAGGGAAATAGGTGCCTTCTGTATTCTTATTTCCCAAGCAGTATCTTTGTTTGATATTAGAAATAAGAATAATGAGGAATTAAATACATTCCTCGCATCTTAAAGACTTTTTTAGTAGACCAACATAACCAAAGTAGAAAAGCAAGTGTCCATTCATTCCTGCCCTTTCTTCATCTCCACTCATCTGCCTCCTGAATCCCCCTCCCCAACATTGCTTTTTTTTTTATTAAGGTGTTGGTAATATACACTCTTATGAAGGTTTCACATGAAAAAACAATGTGTTTACTACATTTACCCGTATTATCAAGTCCCCACCCATGCCGCATTGCAGTCAGTGTTCATCAGTGTAGTAAGATGCCACAGATTCACTATTTGCCTTCTCTGTGCTACACTGTCTTCCCTGTGACCACCTACACCATGTGTGCCAGTCATAATACCCCTCAATCCTCTTTTCCCTCCCTCCCCACCCACCCTCCCACACCTTTCCCCTTTCGTAACCACTAGTCCTTTCTTGGAGTCTGTGAGTCTGCTGCCATTTTGTTCCTTCAGTTTTGCTTCATTGTTATACTCCACAAATGAAGGAAATCATTTGGCATTTGTCTTTCTCTGCCTGGCTTATTTCACTGAGCATAATATCCTCCAGCTCCATCCATGTTGTTGCAAATGGTAGGATTTGTTTCTTTCTTATGGCTGAATAGTATTTCATTGTGTGTATGCATCTTCTTTATCCATTCATCTACTGATGGACACTTAGGTTGCTTCCATATCTTGGCTATTGTTAATAGTGCTGCGATAAACATAGGGGTGCATCACCAACATTTCTTATAGCTCGAAACTCATTTTTCAGGAATTGGTGCTAAGATTAGTGATGGAGTTGACAGTTGCAGATTTTTTGACAAATACTGAACCGCATCTGAACATCAGTCCTAAAGACTCACCTTGTTTCCTCTTGGCTGCTCAGTTCACCCTTCCTCCCTTAATAGGCAACCTTGCCCTCTGCTTCGTGTGAAAGAAGGGATGCCTTCCTCAAAGTATCTCTTTTTCTGTGTCTCCCTTTCTATGTTAGGGTAGAAATTGTTCTCCTTTTCACATCTGTCCCTGTGTCCTTACTTGTTGTTCCTTTTGGGACTTGATTCTGAATTCTCCCTCTTACTGTTTCCACCATCCAGACATGGGACTGTCTTCTTTACTGTTAAGCTCTGAGGATGAGTGATCTTGGCCTCCCTCTTGGGTTCCTCTTCAACCACTGTGGTCCACTACATTTTCAGAATTCATGCAGTGAGGATTTTATGTGCAGCTGCAGACAGCCTTTTCATTGTCTTTTTGTTTCTTCATCTTCCTCAGCCTCCCTAGTGGCCTTTCACTTGGGCACTAGATTTATACTGCGTGTACTTCATAGCCCCCTTCTGTTAAGCTGCTTACTATTTTTCCATGTTGTTCCTTTCTCCCAACCCTTACACTTGTTATCCCAAGAGTAATTATTTAGCCCCTTGTGCCTCTCTTCCCACACTCCCTTTGTTTTTTAAGCCCCATCTCTGCTGGCTCACTCCCCCTCTGCCACCTACGAGGTGCCCCCACATAATTGCTTCAAATCATGTGAATGAAACTAAACTCATGGTGGTGTCTTCCCTAAAATTGGCTCCCTTTTTGTGGCCCTTCATTCTCCATCTTCTCACTTGAAACCTGGTGTCACACTAAGCAGAGGCAATATCATCCTCACAGTAATTCTGAGAAATAGGTTGGGGTTTTTCTTTCCTTTTTTTTTTTCAAACTGTACTTACAAAGAAACTGAGGTTCAGAGAGATTAATTTTTCATACCACTAAGAAATGACAGCTTTAATTCAAATGGCTGTTTAATTTCAAAACCACATTCTTTATTCAATAGTTTATTTTCTGACTCTTCCTTCTCCTCTTCATGTCCAGGTAATTAAGACTATTCTACCACTTTTCTTGAATTGTTTCTCATGTTTTTTTATTAAGCTAGTTTGTTCTGCCTGCTCTCAGGTGCCTTGGAAATTCTGACAAAAGTCAGGCTGGCTCTACTGTACCTCTAAGACCTCCTGACCCTTGTGTATCCCCACTCATGCCAGCACTTCTGTCAAGTTCTCACTGAGCGCGGTCTCTACTTTTCACAGACCTTTCAGAGCTTGTCTAGTCTCTTTAAGTCTTTTCCTGCAGATGCCCAATGTACTCTTTATTGGAAGCAAATGAAACAACTTTAGCCAACTGAATCAAAAAGGGACTTAAATAAGCAGTACAGGAGGAGGGAATTAGGTAGCGTAGAGAATGCCTGGAGAGCAGCAGGATCAGCCTGTGAAATATGCAGGAGCCTGGAGGCTTGGTGGCTTCCAGAGCTGCAGCCACAGGCAGCCATAGAGCCGGTCCCCCAGGACATGGTTCACCCCATTGGGCATGTGGTGCTATCACAGCTGTGCTGCGGCTGTAGCCAACTCAACACCTGCTGCCTCTGCCTCCTGCTTGGAGGTGGGTTCTCTGTGGGCCTTACCTCTCTAGGTTATGGTGTCTCGACCAGAATTCAGGCCAGTGTCTCTGGATCCAGGTCAGGTGCCTTCTCTTTAGCTGCAAAGAGGCCGGGTAAGTAAGTACCAGGTACTTTCATCTTCCCAGAAGACCTACAATGTGGGAGAATTCCCTTAACTTGGAAGGGGACTCAAGATAGATACCAAAGAAAAGGCAAATATCCACTACAGCCTTTTCTTCCTTTATTGGAAGGAGATGACCTTAATTTATTTTTTGAGAAAATAGAAGTCATCACCTAGTAATACCTCTGTCTTCTTGATGGCAGTCACAGATCTTCCTATGTCTGTTCCTCTAAGACTTCTTCCTCCTTTTACCGTAAAGGACCTGAGTCTTCTGCTTGTCCTTTGACTTGTCTTCTCTCTGCCTTCTTCGGAGCTGTTCGCTATCAGTCTTTCTGCTATACGCTCTTCTTTCTACTAAATGGTTCCCATTGTCTTTTAAAAGTGCTCCTGTGTAATTCCTTGCTTATGGACCCTTACCCGGGACTTCTCATCCCTCTCCTGGACTTGCCTTGTCACACTACTTCCTGAAAGGCATCCAGTTCCACAGGTGGGTGTTTTTTCATGTCCTTTCCACCACCCCTTCAATCTGTCCTCCAGCTTCCCCTCAGGCACTTCTCAGAAGACCAATGTCCAGATTTGGTGTTCAGCTTCCTCCTCCTGCCCCATTGTTCCTCCTCTGTATCCTCGCCAGGCTTTTCCTTCCCTCCCAGCTGCTAGATGTTAGCACTTATCAAGGTTGGGCCTTTGTGATTTCTCCTTGTTTGATGGTCAGTTTTACCAGAGTCATGGATTTGCTTATTATCTGATGTGAATGACTCATTGACTTGTCTTTCTATTCCAGACATGTCCGCCAAGTGCTAAATCAGAGGGGCCAAAGCACAGCCAATGCAGCCTCACACAGTTTCCTTGGGCCACAACCACATCCAGTCTCTTACATGCTGCCTACAGCTGTGTTTGCCCTCGAGTGACAAGAGTTGAGCAGTTGCAACAGAGACAGAAAGACCAACAAACCATATTTTTATTTACCGTTTAGTCCTTTACAGAAAAAGTTTGCTGAGCTCTGCTATAGACATTCTCCTTGCATGTTTGTAAATCATCTAAAACGTAGAGTCCAATACCAAGTGCCTTATTTTTTCCCCAAACTTTATCTTCCGCTATGGTGAACAGCAGAACCGTCCATTCAGCTGCACAGACCAGAAACCCTGATGCTTTTCCTGCTGCATGTCTTATTCATGACCTGATCCTTGATCTTACCTCCTAAGTATATTTCTCAGTCCTCCGACTTCTATCTCCACTAGGCCATCTTGGTCCAGGCTGTTGTTACCCATTGCACAGATTTCTCATGGGCCACTTGTATCCACTCTTGCCTCTGTTTCAATATGTTCTCCATCCTAAAGCCAGAGTAGTTTTTCAGAGTGGAAATTTGATCAGGTTATCTACTTTCTTAAAGCATTGCTGTCAGAATAAAGACCAGAAGTCTTCAGAATGGCCTGCAGGTCTCACGCCCTCATCCCCCTCCAGTCCCTTTGTGTGCTACACTCCCCCTTCTGCACTGCAGCCTTACTGTTGTCTCAGTTCTGTTCCCAACCCTTGAATGTAAACAACAGTACATCATTATTTGTCATGGTTCTGGGTAGAGGGCTTGCCTGGGCAGTTCTTCTCCATGTGGTGTTGGCTGGGGCATCACTGCCCCTCGTGTGTCCAGCGGGGTAGCCAGACCTCTTCTGTGGTGGCTCAGGGCTTCAAGAAGGAGCACAAGGAGGACATGTCTCAATGGGCACGCACTGCCCAGCTGCTGGTGCATGCTGCTTGCTAACGTCTCAGCTAGAGCAGGTGGTGTGACTGAGCTTCCCAAGGTTGTAGAGGGTACGTCAGGGCATGAATGCCGGGCAGCTCGTTCAGTGGGGGCCTCTGGTGTGACTCAGTTCCCCCCAGTCTCTGTTTCACATTCATCCAGGCCCTTTTGCTCTTAGGCCTTTGCACATGTTCCTATCTGAAATGGTTGTTGTCCTTCTCTCTACATAACTGCTTTTTGTCCTGGAGGTCTTAACCTTCATGCATCATATGTGCCATTTCTTAAAGGGAGTTGCCTCCCTGAGTGTTTGGATCCCCTTGTGATGGGTTTTTGTAGCACATATACAGTACCTGTTATAAATAGGAATTTTAATTTGTTGTCTGATTGGATTCTATCTTTTCTCCCCACTGGACCACAGCGCCATGAAGACAGGAACTTGATCTATTTTTGTTTTCTCCTGTTTCTGGCACAGTACCAGGCACATAGAAGACATTCAGTAACTACCAGTTAAAGAAAGGAATACATCATCGGATTTTCCCTTCAGTGTGGTTTCCGAACAGTAGTGTTTGTAGTCTCTTTCTAGTCTATCTAGCCCCCATCAGTTTATTATCACTAAAATATGTTATTCTCAATCACTGTTAATTAATTGGGAACATTTCTAAATTCCTGTTTAATACTCTTATGTAATTTTTCATCATGGCTTTTAAGTTGTCAAAAGATTCCATTTACCTTTGGAACCTTACTCTGCCACTCCATCGCTGCACTGGTCTCCCCTCAGCTTATTGTCTCTGCCCCTCATTTGCCTCCTTATCTGTCTGTCTTATTCTCTTCCACCTGTTCTCTCTCCTCCTGCACCCCTGCACCCTCACCTCTGTGCCAGTCCCTCTCATCCTAAAGGCCTTGCCTCTTCTGAGTGAGTGTACCCTTGGCTCTATCACTTGACAGGTAAATTAGTTAATAACTTGCGGTGGCTCCTGATTGTTCAGTGTGTTGGCCTTTGGCTGTAGGAAGTTCCTTTTAATCCTGTTTCCCCACTCAGGCTAGGCCTAGTGCATCAGGGAAGAGACTGCCTCACATGCTGAGCCCGTGTTTCCCGCTCAGCCCTGCTCCTGCACAGGAGCACAGTAAACCTTGAATGACTATTTTGTTTGTCTGATTTTTTTGTCAGGGTGAAGAAAACCTTAAAACAAGCATTTGTACGTTGTTGTCAGTTTTATCACATTTGGAAATCATAACTCAAAATACTCCAGAAAAGGTGAGTTTAAATTGCCTGTAACAAGAGTTTAACCTTGACTATCAAAATAGAATTTTGTTTTTGTACTAATTTTGTTTAAAATATAAAGTGTTCCTCATATTTTTTGCCATTTCCCCTACTTCCTTCTTCCTGTCTGCTCATGTTCTCATGGACTTAGACACAAGTACACAGGAAGGTCCGACCCACTTGCCCGAGTGCATGCTAAATCTGTAGACTAATGGGCAGTTTTTAAGGAGATGATCCTTAATTTTATATAAGTATTTACATAAGATTTTGTTAATTGGATTTAACTATTGCATTTAACTGTTTCTTGAATGATACAGTTATTTACCCAGTTATTTGCTTGTGCAAAGAAACTTATGGTCTGTGTTAAAATGCCATTGGGTAATTGAAGGTTGATGTATAATGTTACCATCTTCAGTGTCAAGGCCAGCTTTTTCAGCTTTCTCAGGTTTAGAGTGATTTTTCTAGTGGTTTACCCCACAGGTAAGTAGAGATCTTAGCTAATTCTGGCTTATCATGGTGGAACTGTGAAGAATTTAGGAGAACCAGTAAGAAGGCAAGGTTCTATAGTATTGAATCTACAGCGAAGAATATGATACGTTGTAAACTCTAGAAGAAAAGTTAGTATATGAAATGAGAAGTGTGGTCCTGTGTTGAAAGTGAAATAAAAAGAGAGAGAAAAGATTTCCTGGAATTTTTCAGTATTCTTGTCTTTAAATTTATTATTTAAATTTAAATATTGATAATCAAATTTAGTTGTTAATTTATTTCATCAATCCTAAAACAGACCTTTCTCCCCACCCCATTTTAACTTTTAAAATCCTCTTAAAATTGATGGTGTCTTACAGTGTCTGTCAGCAGATGGCAGTGTGTTAAAGTTACATGAGAACTTGTGTTAACACCTTCTGGTAAGATCAGGAAAGCGCTAGCATCAGATAACATCAAATGTTACCTTTCTGTTTTAAATATGTGCAGGAAAGAGATTTGCTTACAATCTATTGAGGGAAGTAAAAGAGATAAGAAATTGTACTGTTGCAGGGTGGATGAAATAGCTGAAGGATTGTTTAGACAAATTCTGACAGTGAATTCATCTTCCAGACAGACCTGATTCAGACCTTAACTTCCCCCCCTACTTGGTGTGTGAGTTGTTCATGAAAATTAACCATTTTAAAACTCCCCTTTCCCCAGCTCAACAGTGGTGTAGGACTAATGCTCGGCAAATGAGGAATCTGGACTTTATCCTAAGAGCGTTGGGGAGCTGCTGCAGGATTTTAAGCAGAAACATGACAGGGTCTGATTTGTGTGTGTGGCTACAGCGTTTTGAATGGGTGGTGTGGGGGCAGAACTGGAGAGAGGCAGACCAGCTAGGAAGCTGCCAAGGGACCTGAGTGCTTTCATGGTGCCCTGCCCTGGGGTGGTGGCGTGGAGGAGGCGAACAAGTCAGTGTGACATGTATGTGGTGGAGAGAAACCCCCAGCCTTGGGGATGGGCTAGGTGGACAGATGAAACCCAGGGGTATGACCTGGGCTGCCAGGCTTAGCATGTCTTTCACACATGGGGGAGATGATAATGGGCAGCGGTCTGAATCTGTTACCTGTGACCCCTACAGAGACACAGGAAAGAGCAGTTGGATATTGGGGTCTGCAGCTCAGGAGGGTGGTCTGAATAGGAAATCCAACTCATGTTAGAGATCACAACTCATTATCTTAAGCAGCCAGGCAAGTAGCAGAAACAAACATTGCCAACTTGTGAACCAGGAGGGTGTGGAAGGGCTGCAGGTGAACCGGGTGCTCTTGTGCTGTGAAGGTAGTGTGGGGCTATAGTCCATTATACGCCTGGGGCTGCAAAGCCTGGAAAATGAAAACCTGTATTTTTAAAGCATCCCTGGAGCCAGATCTTCAGGCATTTGCAAAGGGTCTGGAAGGCAGGAGCACACCTGTGTGGGCATGCCAAATCACAGAGGCACCTGTTTTCCTGAGGTAGGATTAGCTGAGGCCCAGTGTCCAGCTCTGTGAACACTAAGAGGCAGAGGGCAGCTCATTTTTTGCTCATGTGAATGCAGGAGGCATGGCGTGGTGTGAGGTCTGCAAACAGTGGTTGTGGCTAGATCATAGAAGAGGGAGGTGGTGGCCCAGTTCAGTGGTGTGGCTCCTGGTAGATCACCTTGAGAGCTGAGAGTCTACATCTTTAGTACTTCCAGGGGTACAATAATAAAGATCCATTTCTGCCTAACTAGCCATATTCAGTTCCTGCAGCCAAGCTCTGATGGGTTAAGATTAAAATACTTTTTTCAAAACACTGTGCAGGTGGTGGGACTAGGAAGGTGGGGGGAGGCAGGTGTGGTTATAAGGGGACAGCAGGAAGGATGCCTGGGTATAGGAGCTGCTCAGTGTCTTGACTGTCATCGTGGATACACAAACATACACATGTGAGAAAACTGTCAACACCACACACACACAAATGAATACAAGTAAAACTGAGGAAATCTAATTTACCAGTGGACTATATCCATGTCAATATCCTGTTGTGACATGATACTGGAATTTGCCAAATGCTGCCATTAAGAGAAACTGAACAAAGTCTTAAGAGAGGCACAAAGGATCCCTCTGTTTCTTAAAACTGCAGGTGGGTCTAAATTGTCTCAATAACAGTTTCAGTTAGAAGAAGAAAGTAGCTGTCACCCACAAGTTTGGGAACCTTGAGTGGACTGAGGGCATGGGTGTGAATGAGGTCACACAGAGCGAGTACAGCCTGATAAAGTGGGGAAGCCAAGGACCCAGAAGAGCCACCAGCATTGGAGGGGTGGGACAGGAAGACGGTGCAAAAGAACAGCAAGAGGATGAGGAAGACCCCCCTCAGGATTGTGGTGTCCTGAGGGACATAAGGGGACCTTCCCAAGGAGAGAATGGCCAAGAGTGGAGCGCCTGGAGAGGGCAGGCAGAGAAGGGCATCATCCACAGTTTTAGCAACAGGCAGGTTGTGACTTTGGAGAATGCACTGCAGTGGCCCATGAAGAGCACCCGAGGGAAAGAGGTGGGCAGACCCGGAGATGGTGTGGACATACAGATGCTTTGGGTCAGATGTCGGAATAGCTGATTTTAAGGTCGTAGAAAAAAGAACAGGGTTTTATGACAAGGTCTGGGGTATGGCAATGGGCAGAGAATGGTAGGCAATGGTTTTTTCATGGTGGTGGAGAGGTAATGATGGAAGTCACACTGAGGGTTGGAAAGGCCCCAGATCCTCCTCTGATTTAGGAAGGAGGGAGAGAGGTTGAGAAATTTGCCGTGGATGAGAGTACTGAAAGGTTCAGGGGTGGGCGAAGGAGAAGGGAGGGCAGCGAGGGGAGGAAACACAATCCTCTGGGAGCAGAGGGAATCCGTGGAGTTTGTTTGGATAGTGAGCAGAGACCATGGAGATAGGGCGTGTGTGAGATCTCGTTGGCCGCAGGCTCCCTGTTGGAAGGCTACTTGGGAAGAAGTCATGTTGGTTTTTTGCTTCCCCTTTTCTTCCTCACTCCGATGTGTGTCCTCTGCGTATTATGTGTCTTCATATGTCATTCTAGGCCCCTGGGATTCTGCAGTGAACAGAACACGCATCTCTCTCCTTCAATCCGGTGGCAGGTGGGGAGATGACAAAGGAACAGGCTGCTGTCAGCCGGTGACACCAGCTTCAAAGAGAAAGAAAACAGAACCAGGGGCTAAAGCCATTTAGAAAGTGGGCTCAGGAGAGACCTTTCCAAGGGGATGATTCTGAATACATGCCCGAAATTGGTGGGGATCCAGGTACTTTCCAGGCCGAGGGAACAGCAGGCGCTGGCTGTAGGTGGGACCCACCTAGTCAGGCCCAGGAGATCAGAAGGATTGGTGCAGAATAAGGGAGGGGGCGGGGAGTGAGGACTCCACGTAGGCTGTGGGGAGAAAGCAAGACCTTTGTAGGGTATGTTGTGTGGGGGACCACTGTCCTGCTGACACTTCAGATTTGCCTCTTCTTCACAATAGTCACCTACTACGTGAATCAAGGGTGATAAAACTCTTAAGTGGTGCATGTTAAAGGCAGTGTACACGAAATGCTGGTATAGCACTTGTGATGTATAACTAATGGCAGTTGGGTGTTATTTATGTTAGATACCACATGTGCTTCATAAAATTGTAAAGGACTGTGAAATATTAGTAATGACTGACTTTCTCTTTTCCCCTTTTTTAAATGTTTAAATTCTCTTTTAATGGTATTTTGGTTGTCTTGGTTAACCTGCTTTGGCTTCCAGCTTCTAGATTTAATCACATATCATGCAGAAGTTTCCCTTTCCTATACCACCCCGGCACTTCTCTTTGATCTTCCTTCCAACCAAGTAAATGTATTTTCTCTTCCCTACATGTCATTTGCTGGTTTTCTTAGATAACCTTGAGTATGCCCTCCAGCCTTTTCTCTTCACCTTCTTAGCAGCTGACCTTCCTCCATGTGGCCTTTCTACTGGGCCCTACATGACTAGTCACCCCACCTTACCCCAATCCAGCACAGACAATGTTAGTTGTTCATTAGGTAGGGATGGTCATTTTTATATCATAGTTATGTATGTGTGTATATGTATCTATATGTCTCCCAACAGTGTTTTTGTAATGCTGACAATACTGTGAACTTTGATAAATGTTCATAACATGTTGAGTAAAGGGATGAAATAAAGAAGATTGTATATATCTGTATGTGGTCCTTCCCAGGGACTTTGGGGAACTGAGATGTGCCAGTAACCATGCTGGAGTACTGGGAAACTCTCCAGTGCATATCCTTGTTTCTAATCAGTCAGGAGATGCTGACTGTAGGGCTCTTCAGCAGGTGCAGCCCCAAGAATTTTCAAGTGGCCCATTTGGCGGGGGGCATCAAGGTAGCTCCTGTTCTTTTATTAAAAGTTTGAGTCCATCTGGTTTCCCATTAATACATGTCTCTTCCTTTGCCTTTTGTTGTCTGTTGAGCTGTGTGGTTTTAGAAATTGGGCTATCATTGCATGAAGTCTCCAGGCTGTGAATGTGGAACAGTCTGTGAATCCATAGGAAAAGACCACAGAGAAGGTTAAATGATTGTGTTAATTTGTTGCTACACTTAGTGCTCTGTGGATCCAAGATCACCATAAGAGAGAACAGAGTAGTTCACAATCAGAGGCAAGGAGGAAACAGCATCTTAGGAGATGCCTTCCTTTAGAAGCACTTTCAGGTTCCCCAAAAGTGGAGCCCTTAGGGAATAATCCTAGCTTAACCTAGGTACCAGAGTGTGGGGAAAAATGTACTGCAGCCCTGTGAATGAAAACTAAAGAGCAGGAGGATATCTTTCTGACCAGATTGCTAATGCCAAGGCTTAATTTTGAGGAGGAAGTCTGCATAGACCCTGATGTACAACCCAGGAACTAAGGCCCACTATGTAACACTTTCATAATTTGTATACCTTGTTTTTGGTCTTTCAGTCAAGGGTAAAACGGTCCATGTTTACATATGAAGAATTTTTCCCTTTCTTTTCAGAAACCAGTTCTGAAGCAAGCCCTTATTACTGTGCTGAACTGGTGTTTCAATCACAATTTTAGTATCCGACTGTATGCCTTAGTTGCTCTTAAGAAAATCTGGAGCATTTGTAAAATGCTGCATGTTGAAGAATTTGATGCTTTGACTTCTGTTATTGAATCCAGTCTTAATCAAGTGGAAAACATGCATGGAGCAGGGTAAGTAGGCTGGCACCCTTCCCGTTACTTCCGAGAGAGCACATGGGGAGGACAGAGGAGCCCATCTTGTTCTCCGTGTTCGGGTGTAGGGCACAGAGCCTGGGTAGGCAGGGGGCAAGCAGGTCACTACGTGACATACAGTTTAATTAATTCTAATTGCCATCAGCTCCATCTTGATCTTTTTTCCTTTTTTATCTTTGATCTTTTATTTTATAAGTCTTTTACACATCTTTAGGTGTTTCTGTTCAGTACACCCAAATGTCATTATCCTCAGTTGTCAAAGAACTGCTGAGAAGCAGCATGATCTGACTTGAAAGACATATTCTTAACCCCTCAGCTATACTAATTAAATCTGTAAGTGGTTTTCTTTTTTTCTAAGAGAATGTCTCTATTTCTCAAACAAAATCCTACTCAGATTCTCAATATAAAACAGATAAAACAACTGCTGCTATGGGCAGAACAGCGGAGGGGAGCATGACCCAGGGTTTTGTGAATTCTCTTGGTTGAAAGTCAGCAAAGAGTATGAACTTGAGTATGACATCATCCATTTTACTTCTGCATTTTTTAAAATGTGAGGAGCAGATCAGAGGTGGGCAATAGAAATGGGAGGAAAATCGAGAGTTGGATTAGTATGAGAGTAGTCAGGGCTCAGAGACATGGACAAGGTTCAGGTAAAGTAAAACAAGCCTGAGAGCACAGGAGCAGTTCCAGTGGTGGCATTGGGGTGGAAGCCAAATTGAAATGGGTTGAAAAGTGGAGGGGACAATATGTTATTTGAATCCGGGTGATTGATAAGTTGGATGGTGTCACATTATTTTCTGTACTTGAATATTTGAAATTCTTTGTGTCTTTTATTTTTAAAAATTGAATGATGAGGAAGCTAAAACAGCTAACTTGCACAGATAATTTTCTCCAGAACTTTTCTGTGTAGTGTAGAAGGAAGAACAATAGTTAAAGGTGGATGTGCTGTCAAAGGAGGGCTTTTACATTATTTTTTTTGTAACAGTAGTTTTTAATAGGTATTCATGGTTAGGAAATTGAGTGGTGCAGAAAGATTTAACAACGAGACAGTCTCCTGCCCTGGTCCCATACCCTCGTTTTCCACCAAGATAAGTTTCTGGTAACAGCTCCCTGCTCTTCTGTGGCCATGCCATAAGTTATGTCACCACCAGTCCCTACTGAGGGACACTTTAGTATGGTTTCTGTTTTTTAAGATAGACATAAAGCCCTTTGAATAGGCTGAAGAAAAGGCTAGTATAGAGAAGAGATTCAAAAGGGGAAGATGGGGCAAAATCCAAGGAAATGAGACTTGGGGCACATATTGGGGTATTGTCCTTTAAAAGGGACTCTTGAAAGCAAAGGAGAAGCAAGGACAGGGGGCCAGAGATGAGAAGTCTCCCATGCAAGGTCTTCTATTTCTCCCTCCTGTGATATGAGAGGCATGGCCTTCAGAAGGGAGGAAAGGGGCTGGGGGCCTTGGGGATGGGAGAAGCCAGGCTGGCCGTAGCAGGAGAATGGTCTTGCCAGGAAATTGTCTTGAAATTGCTACTTAACTTTGGGGCTATTGATCATGAACCAAATCAGAAACTGCTGGGGTCATGGTAATAGTACATGGCATAACTTTTTTCTCTACCTTTTTTGCCTTTTAAAACTTGACAAATGCGTTGAGAAAACCTGCTCAGATTCCATTTGTTTGGCTATGAAAGTTGGTAGCTTGGCTATGTGTTATGAATCTTCAGAGTAGAAATAACAACTTACGTAATGATTTTCTATCCTGAAAAAAAAAAGTGTTTCCTCTCAGAGAGAGACGTGTAAAGATTCTGACCCAGAGTCCTTATCCAGTTCTTTTAGAATTCTTTATTCCCAGATATGTAGGTTGTATGTCTGGCAGGCTGTTCCTGTGAGGTCTTTCCCAAAACGTCCACTGAGACTGTCTTTACTTGCCTTCACCTCTGATGGTGCACAGGCCTCTGCACACTCCGCTAGGTGATCCCAACACTCAGCATGACACCTGGCTCTCATCCTTGTTGAATTATTGTTTGTTGTACGGCTGTGAGGGAATTATTTAATTTCTTTGTCTGACTTAGAGTTTCATTTCAAAATCTCAAATTGACTGTCAGTTTTTCAAGTATATTGATCTTGGAGATATGGGTATGTCATTCTTAGGATAAAATTCACAAAGCTTTCCATTCATTTTAAATTCTGCAGTACCACTCTAGGATAGCTAATAGATTTTTCCCCCTTACCAGGGTTGTTTCACTTGTTGGTACCTCACACCACATTTTTAATCTCTACTTAGGAATGCCAGGAAGAATTGGCAACGCATCCAAGAGCATTTCTTTTTTGCAACATTTCACCCACTGAAGGATTACTGTCTGGAGGTGAGCAAAGAATATCATTTGTAAATTCTCTACTATATCTTTAATCCTTATGCTTTCTTTCTGCCGTAGTTGTTGAAGGGTTATGATTAGGTTAATTTTTTTCCCTTAAACAACATCGATTTAACATTGTGAGTTCTGAGTTTAATTTTGTCACTTTATGCAGATGACTTTTTGCATTTCACTGTTAAGCAGTGAAAATTGGCTAGTCAATCTCACTTTCTATTTCTCAGGCAGTGTCTGGCTTGTAAACACTGTAAGGGGGATATTTAACTCTAAACAGAAATCTGTTCTGACATTAAAAGGAAATGAGTGAGAACATTGTACAGGTGAGATTTTGTTGTAATGAAGACCATTGTTAATGAAAGAACAAAAAGACCTACCGTCGCTAATTGATTTTTTAGGTTCTGGGCAAGTAAAATTGTATAGTCAGTGATACACCAATGATACATCTTATTGATCATAACAGAACATACACAAGTCTAAGAACCATAAACATATGTATTACAATTAGCATGTGATTAATTAATATATAAATTATTAAAATTTGTATAAGTTGTATTACTTTCTCCCTTTCAGCTACTATTATAGTGTTCTGCCTTTGAATCTAAAAAATGTGACTTATGATCTTTTTCTCTAAATAACTTGGAAATACCAGTCACTTCAGCTACTGTGCATAATCAGATTTTTCTGGCAGATTGCCAATAAGCTGGCCTTTAAAAAAATGTATAGATATACATGTTGTGAAATATTTATCATAGAACATTAATGTATATTTTCTGTTGCTTCATTTGAAAAATTATTTAGGATCTTTCAAATATTTTAACATGCTCTGTTCTGTGTTCTTTAGTGCCAAGAGTGCTTTGTTTGACATCTTTCTGAAGGATTCTTTAATAACTCTAGTGTTAAGTCAGCCTTTTATATCCAATTCTCCAGCAGGAGTAAGTCCCTTCCTTCCCTCTTTCCGTCATCCCTACCTTTGACCGTTCCTTTTATGTATTTTATATATTTTGTTCTCCATTAATGATATGAATAACTGTACGTGTAAATAAAATAATGGCTCACAAGAATTCTGTGTCTTTATTTATACATTTGGAGCTATACTTCATACCTAAATAAGCATTTAGTAACAATCATTATGCCAGTTTAAATTTTCACAGCATTAGCATGAAGAAAACCATATTCATTGTAAAAGCTTATGAAATTTCATTTTTCAATCACCTGTTACTTGTGCTTCTGTTTCTTATGTGCCTTACCACCTTTGACGATTTTCTGGTTCTCAGTTTTCTTTCAGAAGGTAAGAAATAGAAAGGAAGGCTGTTTATGTAGTGACTCAATAATAACCATTCCAGTGGTGCCATACTGTGCCATTTACAAAACATTTTCATGTGCTGTTTTAACTTGGTTGTATCCTTAATTTACAAATGAGGGAGCTGAAGCTGAGGAAGGCGAAGTGGTTTGTCTAACGTCGCACAGCTAATAGGTAGTCAAGGCAAAATTTAGATTCTAAATTTGTCTGAATAGTACATCAAGAGCTTGAACCTGATCACTTATGTTTGGTTACCAATAAATAGCATTTATTCAAATGTTGTCCTGCATTCATACTGACTAATTCCACAACTTTTGCATTTATTAAGAGCATGGTGGCTTATTACATCAATTAGAAATACCACAGTGGAAGATCTGCCTGTTTTCAAGGATTTCCTAAATTGATCCCCTAATTTCTTAGAGAAGATAAGAAATATATATAGACAATTGCTGCAAGAAATACATGCAAGTGCGTAATTTGACAGATAATGATAGTTTGGGATAATACATCAGTACTAATATTTAAGTTGTATGCTGAACATGTTATTCACATATTTCTTCTATTTAAGGGAAAAACTTCAGATTTTACAATTCTTTTTTCAGACCATATTTTACATCCTTCCACGCCTTTCAGGCCTTATTGAAGATGAATGGATTGCTATTGATAAGTTTATCCAATTCACTGATATCCCTTTAGATGCAGGATTTCAGTGGTACCTTTCTCCAACTCAACTTTGTGAACTAAAACCAGGTGACTGGTCTCAGCAGGACATAGGTAAAAAAAAATTTTGTTTTATTTTTTTCCCTTTGTTGACTTGGTTAAAACTTTTTGATTTAAGTTAGAACAGGCAGTAAATAATAGCACTTCTTCATTGATGTGGTGAACTCTGCTCCTTGCTTAGAGAAAAGACAGTGAGAAAATGTGGTATGATCTTGACCAAAAAGCTAAAGCTAGTGGCTTTTCTTTGAAATGCTGTTAATATTCATTGCTCTTCCACTATATATTTCTATAAAAGAGATTTTTGAAAGGTCCAAATTATTAGAAAATCTGTTCCTGTCCATTTAGGAGTAAAGCAGAGCTCCTGACTGGGGCTGGCTATATACCACTCATCTGTTAGCCTCTCTTTCTCCTGTACTTTTGTCTTCCTTTTTACACCTACTCCTGCCCTGCAGCTTTCTTAGGACCCACATCGGCCTCTCGCTCACCTCCTCCTTCCCTTCACGTCAAGTTACCCTAAAAAAACAAGGATCAATTCCCCCCACTATTTTGAAAATCACAACCAATCGTAAAAGTTGCGTGTAGTCTACATTCTCATCATTTCTCTCACTCATGTTCTGTCTTCATTCCGGCTCACCCCAACCCTTACCCATCACTGAAACTTCTCTTAGAAAATCAGAAGTGTTCTTTGTCTCCTTTACAGAATCTAAAATAGATGCTCTTCTCTTACCTACCGATGTTTACATAGTGTTTATTTGGTAGTTTCTTGTTCTCCTGATTTTCCTCCTAAATCTCTTTTCACTCTCCTTTTTGAGCTCCCCCACTTGTCTCTTGTAGTTCTCTGAAATTTTAATGTTTTCAAGAATCCTTTGGACAAGTTGTTAAAAGTACAGATTCTTGGGTCCCACCCTGAGATTTTAAATCAGTATGTCTGGAGAAGAGTTCTGGGAAAGTGCATTTTTTATCAAACACTCTAGATAGTTCACTAATGCATTTTAAGACATAATCACTTAAAATTTATTTATTCAGCAGAGATTTATTGATTGCCTACTATGTGCTAGGCTAGTAAGACAAATTCCCTGCCCTCATGGACCTTACATTCCTACAGGGAAGCAGCATGTCTTGCCAATGGGTTTCAGCCCCTGGCAAGTTCACTGTGGATTCAGTGTGACCAAAGAAAATGACAGTAAAGCGTTCTTGGGGTGAAAGGGTTATTCCCAACTTTATTTCCACAGTGGCAGGTCAATCACTAAAATCCTGTTCACTCAGAGAGAGTTTGCATGCAGCAAGCCGGTCTATGCCTCTGGGCCCCTCTGCCCACACAGCCGTCCTCTGGGCCTCTCTGCCTCCACAGTCGTCCCATACAGCCATCCTCTGGACCTCTGTCCTTAGTGCTGCCACCACTCCAGCCTCTGTTCTGCTCTCCTGCAGCCTTGCAGCCATGCCACTGTGTTGCCCAGAGCATTGGGTGGAGCTCTTTATATGGAGTCAGTAGCAACGCATTGCCCACATGTGTGTAGTGAGCTAGCCAATCAGGGCCTAATGAAAATTCTGGCCACAGGACCCTTCATTTTATCCACACAGCCCTAAACAAATATATAAGGTAACATCAGGTAGTAAAAAGGACTATGAAAAAAACAAAGCAGGGTAAAGATAGTGACAAATGGTTAAAAAGATCTTTCTAAGGAGTCGACACTGAGCAGAGACCTGTGTGAAGTGAGAGCAAGTCAAGCACTGATGTAGGGCAAGTGCTTTCCCCAAATAGGGGGCAGCAAATGTGAATATTTGGGTGCAAAAGATGGTGACAAGAGCCATTGCACTGGTGTGGTGGGGACAGCCCGACTAGGGTGGGTGAGCAGAGACGGAGAGGAGAAGAAAGAGGGATAGCACCTGTGGGCAGCCGGTTTGAGTTTTGCCATAGGTGGAGCAGAGAAATGAGGGGATGGGACAAGGCTAAAGAGGTCTTGTTTGTTTTGTTTTTGGTAAAGAGGAATGTTGCAGTGTGGTTTTTATGCCGAGACTTAAATGTTAGTATCTCCCAAATGTTTTCATTGGCTTGGTGTCCTTCTCATTCTGCATGCTCTCCTTGAACATTTTTATTAATTTCTACAACTTGAAACCACCACCTACATAATGTTACTTTTAAATCTTTCTCTCCGCCTGCCCTGTTTTGAGCTACTGGGCTTCTGTACCCAGATACTCCATAAACTCTTGAAACTCAACATACCCAAATCAGATTTACCTTTCTGCCCAAACTTGCCTCCTCTGTATACCCTTATTAGTGGTCACCTGGCCATCACAGAAGTCATTCTCTGTATACCCTTATTAGTGGTCACCTGGCCATCACAGAAGTCATTCTCTGTATACCCTTGTTAGTGGTCACCTGGCCATCACAGAAGTCATTCTTTTCCTGTTTTCTCCGTTGCCACATTACCCATTACCAAATCTCAGTGGTTCTGCTTCCCAAACCTGGCTGCTTCTCCTTCTCTTTAGCCTCTCTTGCACTGACTTTGTTGAGACTGTCTTTGTCTTTTCCTGGATGAGTACAAAAGCCTCTTAATGTTTCCCAGCCTCAACTTATCTTCACATTGCTTTTAAAGGGATTTTTTCTAAAATACAAAACTGTTCTGGCCTGAGCCATCTCATCTCCCTCCATGGCATGCTGGGAGCTACACCAAAGTTTTGCTGGTGCCCAAGCCATTTTCCTTCTGTGCCCTGCATGTGCACACATGCATACTGTGGTCTGCACGGTCCTTCCCACACTGCGTTTACTGACTGTTACCTCCCTTCCCTTGAGCCCTCCTGGGGCTCTTTGCCCTCCTCCCCTAGACACCAATAGCTCTTCCTGTGTGTACATACCCTCACTGTAGCACTGCACTGTGGTTATTTCCACGTCTCTTCCATCTGCAGTAAGCTAAGTGCTCCTCAGTTGTTCAGCCAACAGTTGGAAGCTGGGCAGAGTTGAGGAAAGGCCTGGAAGGAGTCTCAGTCCTTTACTAGAGCTTAGAGCACTGCAGTTAGTTTAACAGCATCTGTGTTTACTTATTTGGTCAGCAAAGACAGGACTGCTTCAGAGAATATCTTTCATTTTAGAGAAGTGCCCCCAAGTACTTGTAAAATAATTAAAGACTGTATTGTTTCAGTAATATACTTCCATAGAAAGTTCTAATACACTATGGTTTGTAAGACACACCATTATTTTATGTACCGCTAGGGAAAAAAAATGCTACCAAACTATAATACCTATGGGTTCTAAGATGCTTCCCAATTTTGGATATGCTAAAATGTAAAAATTGCATCTTATATTTTCATGAACTGTTGTAGTATCTCAGGTGTAGAGTTGAATTTGAATAAAATTACTATTGAAAATAGCAATTGTGTCCGAATCCAAGTAAAGCTCTTTAGTTAATCTCATTCTAAACTATCATTTTTAACTCTTAAAAATGTGTGTGTGTGTGTGTGTGTGTGTGTGTGAATAGATATTTAGATAAATGGGATTATTTTCTTTTTCATTCCCAGGTTATAACTCAGGCGAAGCAGATACCCAGTCAGAGTGGACTGATGTTCAGAAGAAGATTATCCCATGGAAAAATAATGTTCCAGATTTAGACCTGGAGCTAGTATTTCAGGATCGTGCTGCCAAACTTGGAAAATCAATTAGTAGACTGATTGTAGTGGCCTCACTCATTGATAAACCAACCAATTTAGGAGGTACAGTTGTCATTTTCCAGGGGCCTTGTTTAAAATCTTTTGATCCTGAAAACTTATTATCAATCCAATGTCATTTTGGGCTGTCTTTTCCACATTTAACCCCCTTTGGGAGCTTCAGAGGAGCGCATGGGGTGTAACATGCTCAGTGTTACACCAGAAGCAGTAACTCCAGCTTGTTTTTTGCAGGCCTGTGCCGGACCTGTGAGGTCTTCGGGGCCTCGGGGCTCGTCCTTGGCAATCTTCAGTGTATCAGAGACAAACAGTTTCAGCACCTCAGTGTTTCGGCTGAACAGTGGCTTCCATTAGTGGAGGTGAGTAGAAAGTTGTTTATTATTAAAATTTTTATCATAGTACTATCCTCATGTATCAGTTCTTTTGCAGTGATTTATAGTAGTCCTGCCTTTTGATCATTTTAAATAATACTTAATGTAAAATAATACAGCCCATTTCTGTTATCCAATTCCTTTTACTACCTTTCACATTGTTGTATTTTTAGAAATCATCAATAATGTTCAGTTTTTTCAGTTTTTTTCATGAGTCCGGTTGTAACTAACTCCTGATTTAGGAATACTTTTTATAAATTTATGTGGTGTTGGGGGAATTCTTTTTTATAGCTTATAATTGTCCTTTTCTTTTTACCCAGCTTAGTTTCGATTTTTCTCCAAGCAGGACTGTACATGAATGATTTTACTATTCTACTCTTTTTAAACTAATATTAAGGTAAAACCACCTCACCTAATTGATTATCTGCAAGAGAAAAAAGCAGAAGGTTATACCATCATTGGTGTGGAACAAACTGCCAGAAGTTCAGACCTAACCCAATTCCGCTTTCCTGAGAAATCTCTACTCTTGTTGGGGTAAGAAAATTCTCGAGTCTCAGTCTAGAAACTGTTTCAGGAATTTCATAATTCACTAGACTCCTGATATTACACCCATACTCAGCTTCTGACTTGTAACGCTTGTGAAAGCCCCCCTAGTTCTCATTTCACTTCATTCACACTTTAGGATGGTCAGGTGAACATACAGACCGATAAATTTTTTTGTTACATTCTTACTCTCCTAGTACCATAGACTTACTTCATTTTGTTAATCTATATCTTCCAGTGACATTCAGAATATCTGAGAAAAAAATTATTTTTGAACGAAAAGAAAACTAACCTTTCTTTTCCCATTTTTCTCCATCAGAAATGAGCGTGAAGGAATTCCAGCATATCTGATCCAGCAATTAGATGTTTGTGTGGAAATTCCTCAGCGGGGTATCATCCGCTCGCTTAACGTCCATGTGAGCGGAGCTCTGCTGATTTGGGAATATACCAGGCAGCAGCTGCTTAACCATGGGGACATGGTATCATGAAGTCGGTGCCTTATCTGAATTATTGGTGCTACTGAAACATTTTTTTAAAATTATTTGAACTAATGAAATAGATAATGAAATTTGCTGGGATGATTTGTATTTTTTTTCTCACAATGCCAAAACATTTTCATGTGCCTTAAATATATTACTCTGCTGTCCCCTTTAATAAACATTTTTAACTATACTGTATTGCTTCTTTAATATTTTAAGCAATTGTGGAAATAAAATAGTGTATTTAAGGGAAATAATTTATTTCCTAGAAACTTTATTTCCTAGAATAATTTATTTCCTAGAAACATGGAGTATGATAGGAGTAAAACAGAATTAAGGCAGCTACTATGTACGAATCTAATGTCTGATCGTCGTAAGGAAGCAGTGGGGTGGCAGCTAAGGTTCTGCATGAAGAGGAGCCACTGCCTGTCTTTGCTGCTTTGCATTTGCTTATTCCCAGGGGGAAAACCTGCTTGGATAGATGCTGAGCGAGCTTTCCTAGTAAGTCCATGATGCTCAGGTAATCGGTTTTATTTTTAAAGCCAAAAATTCGACCATAATCATTCATATGAATTTTTTAGGAAAATTTTCATATACTACCTTTGCTCAGGGAGTTCAGATAGTGGTTATAAATAGTCTATATTCTGACAGCTGCCAATTTAGAGCCAGAGATGCATACCATTACCAGAAGTGAGAATGGAACCCACAGGGTTGATGTACTGTTTCTGTTCTTTGTTTGATATTGGGATTTCTTCATTATTGAAAGTAACATTTAGCCCCATTCAGCAATGAACTTCAATTATATCTGTGTCCTCTTTAATAATATTTAAATTTCAGAGTCCATTACTTGTATATATTTTTTTATTCTGTAGCTTTATTAAAATTTTTGTTTTGCAGAAGAGTTATAAAGTTACTACATAGCTTCAATATGCCCTTCACCCTGATGCCTCTAATAGGATCTTATAACCATGGACATTTATCAGAACTAAGAAATTAATATTGACAGTGGTGCGGTTTACTAAACTACAGACTATAAATATATATATATACATATAGATTTAGATTTTGAGTCTTCCCATTAGTATCCTTTTTCTGTTCCAGGACCAATCCAGGACACTAACTTGCATCTAGTCATCACGTCTCCTTAGTTTTCTCCATTCTCTGACAGATTCTCAGTTTTCTTTGTCTTTCATGACCTCGACACTTTTGAAGAGTGCTGGTCAGGCATGTAAAAGTCTCACGATTTGGATTTGCCTGGGGTTTTCCCATGACCAAACTGAGGTTCTGGGTTTTAAGGAAGGGTACTGCAGTGATGAGTGCCTTTCTTGTCACATCTCAGCATGACTTACCACCTCCATCATCTGCTTAAGGCTGTGTTTGCCAGGCTCCTCTTTGTCAAGTTGATGTTTTCCCTTCCCATGCTGTTTTGTTAGAAGCCAGTCACTAAGCCTCACCAACACTCAATGATAGAGAAAATGAGCTTCACTTCTTGGATGATGACATCAGTGAATAGAGCCAGTTTTAGTTCTTCCTTCCCTGGTTGTTTTTCTTTTTAAGTAGCTAGGAATCCAATACCTTGTTGAATAGAAGTGAGAAAGGACATCCTTATCTTGTTATTGATTTTAAGGACATTTTAACTTTTATTGCCTAATCATTAAGTATGATATTAGCTCTAAGTCTTTTGTAGATGGACTTTATTATTTTACTCATATATTTTAAGTTCAACCTTCCTCTTCCAATCCTCATTTTTTGTGCCGGTATTAATACTCCCAGAACACACAACAACCTACTTTTCTCAGTATCTGTAATATTTGCCTATTATCCTCTAAAAAAAAAGTACATATGTTTTTAATAACAGGCTTTTAATTTCTTCTTAAAATACAGGTTTCTTAATTAAAACAGCATATTCCATACTATTTTCAGTTCTTCATAGTTTGATGGAATCTTGTTTGATCATTTTATTAGAAGTTGTATATATGGAATAAGTATTGATGCTTATTTACCCTAATTCAAACTATTGTCCCATAGTCAATGGAACATTTTTGAATGTCCAGAAAGAATAGTTTCAACTTTCTGAAAGGTTCAGGAATAGCCTAGGATTCTGTGGTTGTTTTTGAAGGCTGGAACTTTCCTGCTTCAAATTTTTCTTTGAACTTTAAGTAGTCTCTTCTTTTATCAAAATATTTTATCTGTAGAGAAAATGGGTTTGAAATAAGGGTAAGTTGTGCAGCTTAGATAGAAGCACAGATTTAAATGTAACAAATTCAATATAAATTGTATAGTGACATAAGTGATTTATATTCTAGAAACATTTTGAATCAATGCATTTGATATTTAAGAGTCTCTAAAGAGGGTGAAGAACAGTGAGTGAGTCCTAACCCTTTACGGATCTTGAGAATTTAAGCAATCCATGAAACTTCGTGAGAAGTGTACATGTGCTTAGACATGTGAAACTTGCCATGCAAGTTCAGAGTTCAGAGACCTCACATCATAAAACATAAGAAAAATTTATACATTTTTTAAATCATTCCATAATTTTTATCAATTTATCTCATCCAGAAACATACACTTAAGGAGTCAGTTAAAAATTATATTTATGAACTGTGACTAAGTAAATTATAAAACTTCAATAAGACTTTTTATTTATATCCTCTTGCCATAGGGACTTTGAAGTATCTTAAGACCTCATATCCTGAAACAGTAAAATCACAGTAGATAATCAAGGTCAACCACAAACCTGTCAGAGTATCTGTATGAGCTGCTTTACAACAAGGAGGCAGAATACCACACAATTTTGTCAGAATAGAAAACACTAGTTCTTTTGTTAAAAGTTTTCTTAAGAATCAAATCCTCTATTATTCAGTGGAGCCTGACTAAGTGAAAATTAGCTTAGATTGAGAATGTAAAAAGCTTGTCTCAAGCCGGACAAGACACAGATAAAGCCAGCTGCAAAGTTACCATTTCACCTGAGGACACACTACAGCCATGGAGTGTCCTAACAGACATAAGTGACTATTGCTTTCTTATTCACCACAAAATGCTGTACTTTAGAATCACAGATTATCAGAAACTTGCTCTTAGAAGTTACCAGTAAGAGTGAAACATCCTACTTTTGCCTGGAGGATCTAAGGTACTTTGATACACAGAAGCAGCCTGGATTCCAATCTAGGTGCAGGACTTCAAATAAGGGATTTCTGATTGATCATGACATTCAGCACTTACTTTTGTAAAAATTGGACACTGGGTCTACTTCTCAGTCCAGAGCTGACGATGACTGTTTATACACAGCTTTGCTTTTAGCCATTTCAATTTTACCTAAACTCTACCCTTCCCCCAAATCCTCTGGCAACTCCCTTCCTTTGGTTGATGAGTTGCCCAGTTCCTCTGGTATGCGGTCTTTCTGGTCACAGCATGTTATAAGTATGTCAGACTATACATTTACTCCTGGTCTTAGGCTGATGAGGCTGGGAGAGATGTTACTTAGAAAGGGCACCCAATGAAGAAGTGGGTAATGTTCTTAAAATTTTTGTGGCAAATTAATCATCTTTGCATCTCCTGTCACATGTCTAGTTGCTGGACAGGCAATTCTATTTATGAGGGCCTATCGACATTTGAGTTCCAACTGGCCCAGAACTCAACCCTTCTCCAAATGTTTCTCCTCCTCTACTATTTCAATGAACTCATCACTACCCACCTCTCTCACCACTTCTATCACTAGAGGCCAGGTCCTCATTTTCCATGTGGATAGCTCTTTAAGGTGGTTTCAATCTACCTGTCACACTGCTGGCATTTCTGAAACCCAGATCTGACCATGTCACTTGCTTGTTTTTATCTTTATTCTCTGGCTATGACATCAGCTTGGAAAATAACACAAATTTTGAAGTCATAGAGACCTGCATTCAAATTTCCTTTAGTATTTTACTGGTTAGCTGATCTTGAACAAATTATTTTACTTTTCTGAGCCTTAGTTCCTATTGTGTAAGCATACAATGGTAGATCAAAAGACTTGAAAATTAAAGCTAATGAAAACAAAATCTCTCTCATAGAATGCACTCAGAGACCTTCTACCTCCCCCTACCGCTCCACCTCCTCATACACAGCTCTGGAAAAATCTCTCCTTTTTAATTCTACGGCTATTAGGTGAGACGTCAACAAGGTAACACTTGAGGAGAGGGCACAGGTGCAAAGGAAGAAGGCTGAGGAGGAAACCTCAGTTTCACCCTGAACAGGAACGGCACTGCAGAAGAAAACAGTTCTGCATGGGAAAATGGCTGGCACTGTCAAATGTTGCACAAGTCAATTAGAAGATATTGCTACAGTACCCTCCGCCCACCTTTGCTGGAGTCATCTCTTACTTCACAGGTCCCTCTCATTTTCTTCAACAATACTCATGTTGTGACTCTGGTGATTTCAGTGGCCACGTTGTTGATCCTCCAGTACCCTGGCCTCTCAGTACTTCCATGTCTTGTCCTCCAACCTACATTACTCCCAGGATCAAAAAAGCCTGGAGCTTGTCCTCACCAATAAACAGCCCTTCCATAATCCCAATTCTAAGCATCCCATTTCTCACCTTTACCACCCCTTCACTTTCCCTGTCAGACCCTGATGCCAACAACCATCAACCGTGCCACCTCTCACTGACTCCTATCCCTCCCGTGTTCTCACTTGTCACTCTCACTTCCCCAGTCACTCAGAATGAAGTCACCATCTCTGGCCTCCCATTACCTCTCTGACCCTCACTTCTGCTATTTTCTCCTTGCTGTTCCTTTAACACACTGAACCTGTTCCCACTGCAAGGCTGTTGTATGTTATCCTGCTCCTCTCCTGAAAACTCCCCTCCGATATAACTCCTGAAGCACAGTATGCCACCCTGTCTCTGGGCTGCACTGATATGGTGTCTTTCACCGAGGCTGGGAATGTGGGAGGAGAGGCCCTTTGGGTACAGGGTAGGAAGAGTTCAGTCTTGTATGTGCAGAGGTCAAGGTTGGGCAGAATCTGGTCTGCTCAACAGATGCTTCTGGACTAGGAGAGTCAGCCAGGCTTCAAGCTATGGCTGTAGATAGAATTGTAGAGCAAGTAGCATAGAAGGCATCTTTAAAGGGCACTGGCATTTATCAAACACAGAGGAAAGCATTCATAGAAGCAGTGGCTGCTAGAGATGGAGGAGAACTAGGGGAGTCAATTGTAAAGGGACCCAAGGAGATAGGGCTTTGATATGTAAACAGTGGAAATAGACTTTATGTCTCAGTTTCTAGAACACCAGGGAAACCTGTACTAGCTATTTTCATGGATCCTTTTCTTGCTTGACAGGCATGGGAAGCAGCATGTGGAGCAGGGAAGGTCATGGCATCTGAACTCTAGACTAATAAACTCCAAGCCAGGCTCTGCACCTTCAAGTGACGTCATTTCAATATGTCTGTGTTCTCATCTGTAAAACTGGATAACAGCGTTATTGTGAGGAATAAAAGTTAGGTGCCATATTTGCAGTGCTTACAGCATATGCTCAGGCAGTTTTAGCTATGGCTAGGACACGGTAACCCAAGAGGGCCTTGTGTCATGACAGCCAGTTAAAGAGTGGAAGACAGTAAAGAAGACTGGCTGGCCATCTGAAACCCTTTATAATGCAGAGAACAGAAATTGCCCTGAAAGTCAGGGAATGGGAGGGAGGGTCTACTGGCCACTAGATTAGAGAAAAATCAGTGGGTTTAGGGGAGGATACAAAAATAGGGCTGAAGTGTGACTTCCCAAGTGTGAATGGGCTAAGATGGTGATTTCCAACCATGGTTACCCACCAGAATCACCTGCAGAGCCACAGCCCTTTTGAAAGAAGGTGAGTTTCTAGTTACCGAAATTCAGTAAACCTGAGGTGAGGTCTGGGACATAGCCATTAAAAAAAAAAAAAATCACACAAATCTGATAGGCAACTTGAGTGGGAAATCATGGCTAGGCTAGACAGGTTTCATAGTACTAAGGGCTCCTGGGGAAATGTGAGGGCAGGGAGAGAGTGGAACCAGCCACTACTCTGGCCTTGACTTACCTCAGGGCTGGCTCTTACTCTGCACCACTCCCACTCACCGCAACAGCCTCAGGTCCTTACCCATTCCCAGCGCTGCCCTGATCTGAGACTGATAGCTCAAGAGCAGAAGGGAACAGTGTAGTGATGGTATCGTGGCCTTAAAGGAATTGGGTCTAACATCAGCCCAGAAGCCCAAATTTTCCACCTACTTAAATCACAAGTTACTCTCAAGGCATCTACGTAAATCATCTATCCAATCACAAAGCCCTGCATTTATCAGTTTTCACCTGGTAGGTCAAGTTAAGACATTTACTCTTCATAGTAATCTCATGAGATAGGCTACATTATGCTGGCTTTACAGATGAGGTCATCTAAAGCAACTCCTATCCACTGGCTTACTACCAGGTCTGCCCCACAACATGACCCGGACACTATCACAGTCTTGGGGTCTCCTTCAAGCCCCAGTCTCCTCATCCACAAATATTTAGTGTGAAAGAATGAGGACCCTAAAACTACTTCATTTCTAAAATGCGTGTTCTCAAACTTACACTCTGGAACAGCATGGTAGAGTGAAAAAGCACAGACAAATCCAGGTCCAAATCTTACATCAGCCAGTTGGGCCTGACTTGGAATTAGAGTTCTGCCACTTACCAATATTGAGCACTTATTTTGATGTTCTGAGCTTCACCTGCCTCTAGAAATTGAGAGCAAGCCACCCATCTGTAACTGCACTGATGAAGGAGTATCAAGCACTTACACAAGAGCACTTACTAAACTCGAGGATGTTAGTTCCCTTTTCCAGCCCACCTCCTGTACTAAGGACAGGCAATCCAGAATAGGAACATCTGTCAGGGAGGCATCTAGGGCAGCTGGTGGCAAATCGACAGTATGAACATTTCTTCTACTTTATAAACTATTCTTTATATATTTGGCATATGATTTTGGGTGGGTCACTGGGAATACTTTACTTCTACAGTAGCTTGAGGCCAATAAATTTGCCAACTGTTGCCCAAGATTAAATATTATCCTTCAAGATCCCAGAGAAGTCTACCAATTTAGTGGGTTGAACTTTTCTGTATTGTCCATACATTTGTTTTGTTTTAGAATTACCTTTAAAGCGTCAGGTGACATTTTCCAAAGGTATGCCTGATACAAGCCAAGATTACCAGAGTTTTCTCTGTTGCTCACAGAAACTGTTGATTTGACGTCCCTCAGACAGTGCTTCACTTCATAGACTACCATTCGCACTGCAGAGCAAAAAGAAAGACACTCACATATGACTTACCCACTGTTGGGGACAACTGGATTCAAATGAGCTTCTCAACTTCTTACATTGTGAAGCACCGTCTGTGTTCTCATCTAAACACTTCCAGTATTCATCCCGAGCTCCCCAGCAAACCTCTCTTTCTTTCATAGATGGGGCTGCCATTCCCAGGGGGCTTAAGCTGTTGGACAAAATAACATTCTATGTCAATAAGGAACTTGCAATTTGAGTGAAGGCAAGGAAAAAATACCGTCATTCCCTCCACCCCATTTTTAAGTTACACCTCTGGATTTTAATGATCCAACTGAAACTGATCAGTTCTAAATTAACCATACCCGGAACACCGGCTTTTTGAAGCTTCTCTCCCTACCCTTCGTAATTTGATCCTCCACTGGGGTGGCAGCTTGGTCCCGGTGGAATTGGGTTCTCTCATTATTATTCTGTACACACTCACCATTACATTAGGGCAGCTTATTTATTCCCACAAGCTTGTTTCCCCATCAGTAAAAAGAGGGATAGCAGTGCCTCTTTTATAAGGCTGCTGTTGGAACCAAACTGCTGTACAAACGCAAGGGGGCAAAATTACCAAGCAGTGAGACAGGGATCGTGGGTGTAGTCAGAGTAGGGTGAGGGCATCTGGAAAAAGACCCCTACCAAAACTCCGTATTAAACAATTAAGTAAAGTCAGTCATAGTAATTCTCTAAAGTAAAACATAAAACTACGAATATAAGCATTATTCAGTGAAGATTAATTAAAACTTAAAAAGCCAAAAATAACTTAGCCTGGAATGCTTGAACATCCCCCAGATAAGAAAATACCTCAGCATAACCCATGTCTTGTTTGTGTCAATTAAATGAGGCTATTATAAAATTTACTTTAACCTGCTAAAAGACCCAGTTTATCTTTAACTTTATCCAGATGTTGCTTTTCCTCCTCCAGACCCTAATCAAATAATATATAACCTGGGCAATTAATATAGCAAGCAGGCCCAGGTGTAAACAACATAGTGAAGGGCAGGAAGGATTCCATCTTAAAGATAAGATTGCATTTTAAAACCCAAGAAGTTAAGAAGTAAGATTCCTAACTTACTATTTAGCAAACAGACAATAACTCAGCCCACCTTGAGAGCAGGACAGGAAGACTTGACTGATATGCTCCCAAACCAAGAAACTGCTATTCTGGGAAAGAATCAAAGCAGTACATTTCTTACGTTAACTCTGCAAAATAGTCTGGAAAATTGATAACTTAGTGTCTCTTCAAAAAGAAAAATTTAGAGACCGTTTGGTGGGTCTGCATCCCTAGCTCTTTGTCTCTCACCTGCCTATAAACCCCCTAGACAACGCACCACTACGGACCCTCTTGTACCCTCCTGGCATGAGCCAGAAACTGTCCTCTCACTTTACCTCCAAATAAAAGCCTCTCTCTGGATCTCCTACCTTGACTGTTTGCTAAGTTCATTCTTCGACTCTGCAAACAAGAACCCCGGCATCAGCAGGACAAGGAGTACCACCCAGTCCGGCCGAAGTGACCTCCGGGGCTCATACTCCGCGGTTGCCCGCCGGTACCCACCAGCAAGCTGACCTCTCCGCCAGCCCGGCGCAGACGGGGAAAGGGCACGCAGGCCAACAAAGGGGAGGAGAACGCGGAGCAGAGTCTGGTGCCGGACCCCGGGCAGGACTGCGCGCAAGCGGCGCAGAACTCACGACCTTCCAAGCAGGTAATTCACGCGGCGAATTAGCCGGTCTCCTAATGACCCTTCCGGGCTACCGTTTGCGCTCGGGGGTGGGACTTCCGGCTCGCTTTCTTACCTTTGGCAGACTTCCGGGCCTGCTCTGAGGAAGGAGGTGGTGCGGGGTAATGGTAGGTGTGAGTGAGCGAGAGTATCTGTCGCAGCCGAGCGGTGACGTCCTGATGCCCCTCTCCCCACAGTTTGTCACAACCTTGAGGAACTCTGCCCCTTTCGTGAATCAAAGTTTCTCTGTATAACTCGTTCAGCGCCGCTCGGAAGATCAAACCTGCCGGACAAAGCGGGTTTGTGTGGAAGCCTGCACCTGAGCGATGAGAGCTGGACGAAGCGTTACGGATGATAACTTAACTCTTCGTTTCTTAGATTAAGAGAAAAGAGAAAGGATGGAACGGCCCCGAATGAGGCAGGTGACGACCCAGGACACCTGGCAAATCAGTGACCAAGCTGAGAGCTCAGGGCACCGGGCTCGCAGGCCCCCGGTTGCGATTTCAACCTGGTGCGGTTCTCACCATCGTCATCACCTCAGCTTGAACCCTGCGGCTTTTTTCTGTGGCTGGAAAAGATCCTTTTAGTTGGTATTTGGAGACATCTAGTGTAAGAGAATATGAAAGCAATGTTCCAGTCTGCTGAGATGTGAAGTTTGAGGGATTATAACGAGCCTGATTAGAGATCCCGGCTTGGATACCTGTACTGTGGATCTGAGATTTGTGAAAGGTGGTATAAATTGGTCATGAGAGTTGGGAAAATAAATTTTTGTATTTCTGTTCTAATCTTTCTTGTTTTAATCTTATGCCCCAAACGCCAAGGGTATTAAAAAGAACGAAAAGAGCTCTAGATATTTTGAAAGGATGGTATTTTAAATATAAAAAAGCACATTTATGGATAAAGATTAGTCGTCTGGTTCTCATAAGATTCCATCTGCATCCTCTAGTCCTCTTGAAGGTCCAAGTGCTTATAAAACTCAAGCAATTTAAATTTCTGCACTCAGTGCTGTTATTTGATCTTTTCTAAACTCAACATGCAGATCTTCAGGGTGGCTGTGTGAAGCTAAGTATCACGAAATGTAACAGTTTGAAAAGTATTTGTGTAAAGTGTATGAGTCTTAATACTGGATTCTTTATCTTTACTAAAGCAACTCATTTCTTTCACACTTTATATAAACTGCCCTTGGTAGACAATATCTTTTAAATATGAATGATGAGGTATAAATGGGATGAGAGACTCTTGGTGACTTATGAGTCAAAAAAATAAATATATTTTAAATTTTAAGTTTATGTGTACTTAATGGTAAGTGTATTAAAGTACATAAAGTGAAAGGACAGAGTTACAAAGAAAAAATACTATGGTCATATTAGGGTTTAACGAGCCTTTCTCAGAAATGAAGACAAGCAAAAGAAAAATCAATAAGGGTATAGAAAATTAGAATAATATGACTTACAAACGACCTGATTAATATATACATAGAATACAACCAAAATCAGAATGTATTCTTTTAAAGCAAACATGACACATTGCCAAAATTGACCACACATTTAGCTGTAAAGCAACCCTCAAATTTTAAGCATTAAAATCATTCAGCACGTTTTTTTGACACAATGCAATTAAGCTAGAAATCAATAAAGAACCGTAAGAACAAGGCCATATAACCTATAGTCAAAGAAAGAGTCATAATGGTATTGAAAAAATATTTCGAGCTGAAGAATAAAATACAAGAGCAATACCTGTGGAATGAAGCATAACAACTTAGGGCAAAATTTATAGCCTAAAGTAAATATATTAGAAAAATTAGCTGCAAGGTCTTTAGCTAAATATCCCTTTTCAAGAAGTTAGAAAAAGAGAGCAAAATTAAAGTAGAAGGAGAGGAATAAGAACAGAAATGAATGAAAGGGGAAAGAAAAGTAGAGTGCCAGAGATAGCCTGTACTGGCTCAGGGGAGCCAACTGCGCACATCTCATCTCAGCTGCATGGTCATGACAACAAGTGGGTAGCTTGCAATTGTCCACAATGGGAGTATGCACACTATGGAAATCATCAGACAAGGTAGTGTTATGTTCAGAGCCACTCCTGAATGTAATACATTCATAAAATCCAAAAGTTGAATTTTTTGGGGAAATAACTAGTAAAATTGACAAGTATCTGACAGTATTGAGCAATTAAAGATGTTAACAACGTATATCAGTAATGAGAACTATAGAGTCCAGAAAAAGAACATCTTGAAAACAATTTAATGTAATTAAATTTAGGTGAATGGCCTTACAGCACTAAACTATGTTTTCTACCTTTATCTTGCATCTACCTACCACTTCAGCATTTTATTAAAAATAAAAATAATAATAATAATAGGAGAAATGTGGGATCAACATATAAATCAAGTACAAAAATCAAACGAATATTCATATTTGACCTGATTGTTTATAGGTCATATTGCATGATCAAAACCGAAAGTTTCTGTGATGACTGCCCTTGTACTGTTCACCATGTAAGAATTTATTCACTATGTAAGAATTCGTTCACCATGTAAGAACTTGTTCGTTATGCTTCAGAAGATTGGAGACTGACGAGAATTAGGCTTGAGATGGATTAATGATTGTACATTGAGCGTTGACCCCCCTATACTGAATTTTATTGTTGTTAACAACCATTTGATCAATAAATATGAGAGATGCCCTCTCAAAAAAAAAAAAAAATTTAGGTGAATGTACAAATATGAAGAAAAAGGCCAACTTGCTGACTCAAGAGTAGAACATAAGAATAGTCCTAAACCATTGAATAATTTAAATCATTGGTAAAGAATCTTCACACACCAATTCCTGGTCCATGACTCCACGAGTAAATTCGTGTAAACTTCGGGATAATTTCATTCTCATTGTGTAAGGTTACCATAACTTTTGTACTAATTATAAAATCCCTAAACCTCTGAAACACCAAATTCTTTGGAACTCAGTTGAAAACTGTGACTTAGTAACATGAGACTCCTTATATTCATTATTTATATATTATTTAGATGACTACATATTTTGTAATAGAGATATGAATGTGTAAATATTTTTTATTACAGGTGCTGTTTCAGTTCTTGCTTTGAGTGTTACATAATTAATATATGTTGCATATTTCATAGTACTTTTCCAATATCCAAAAAATGTCTATATCTGGCTCTAGAGATTTCAGATAAAAATACATCGACCTGAATGGAAGAATATTTTTATGCCTTTGGGGTCTAAAATAATTTTCTTTTTTTGGTATCATTAATCTACAGTTACATGAGCAACATTATGGTTACTATACTCCCCCAATCATCAAGACTCCACCACATATCCCACTACAGTCACCGTCAATCAGGGTAGCAAGATGCTGTAGAATCACTACTTGTCTTCTCTGTGTGGTACAGCCCTCCCCGTGCCCCCACACACACAATGTCTGCTAATCAAATGCCCTCTTTTCCCCCTTATCCCTCCCTTCCCACCCAACCTCCCTGAGTCCCTTTCCCTTTGGTAACTGTTAGTCCATTTGTGGGTTCTGTGAGTCTGCTGCTGTTCTGTCCTTCAGTTTTTTCTTTGTTCTTATACTCCACAGATGAATGAAATAATGTGGTACTTGTTTTTCTCCACCTGGCTTATTTCACTGAGCATAATACCTCTAGCTCCATACATGTTGTTGCAAATGGTAGGATTTGTTTTCTTCTTATCGCTGAATAATATTCCATTGTGTATACGTACCACAGCTTCTTTATCCATTCATCTACTGATGAACACTTAGGTTGCTTCCATTTCTTGGCTATTGTAAATAGTGCAGGTACATAGGGATACATATGTCTTTTTGAAACTGGGCTCCAGCATTCTTAGGGTAAATTCCTAGGAGTGGAATTCCTGGGTCAAATGGTATTTCTATTTTTAATTTTTTGAGGAACTGCCATACTACTTTCCACAATGGTTGTACTAATTTACATTCCCACCTGCAGTGTAAGAGGGATCCCCTTTCTCCATATCCTTGCCAACATTTGTTGTTTGTCTTTTGGATGGTGGCCATCCTAATTGGTGTTGAATAACAGTAGGGAGAGTGGACATCCCTGTCTTGTTCCCAATCTCAGAGGAAAAGCTTTCAGCTTCTCACTGTTAAGTATGATGTTGGCTGTGGGCTGGTCATATATGGCCTATATTATGTTGAGGTACTTGCCCTCTATACCCATTCTCTTGAGAGTTTTTATCATGAGTGGATGTTGAATTTTGTCAAATGCTTTCTCAGCATCTATGGAGATGATCATGTGGTTTTTGTCCTTTTTGTTGATGTGGTGGATGATGTTGATGGATTTTTGAATGTTGTACCATCCTTGCATCCCTAGGATGAATCCCACTTGATCACGGTGTATGATCCTCTTGATGTATTTTAGAATTCAGATTGCTAATATTTTGTTCAGTATTTTTGCACCTATGTTCATCAGGGATATTGGTCTCTAGTTTTCATTTTTTGTGGTGTCTTTGCCTGGTTTTGGTGTTAGAGTGATATTGGCTTCATAGAATGAGTTTGAAAGTATTCCCTCCTCTCCTATTTATTGGAAAACTTTAAGGAGAATGGGTATTATGTCTTCTCTATATGTCTTATAAAATTCAGCGGTGAAGCCATCTGATCTAGGGGTTTTGTTCTTGGGTAGTTTTTTGATTACCGATTCAATTTCGTTGCTGGTAATTGGTCTGTTTAGATTTTCTGCTCTTCCTTGGTTAGTTTTAGAAGGTCGTATTTTTCTAGAAAGTTGTCCATTTCTTCTAGGTTTTCCAACTTGTTAGCATATAGATTTTCATAGTATTCTCTAGTGATTCTTTGTGTTTCTGTGGGATCCATCATGATTTTTCCTTTCTCATTCTGATTCTGTTGAAGTGTTTTGATTCTCTTTTTCTCTTAATAAGTCTGGCTAGGGGCTTATTTATTTTGTTTATTTTCTCAAAGAACCAGCTCTTCGTTTCATTGATTTTTTTCTATTGTATTTTTCTTCTCAATTTTATTTATTTCTTCTCTGATCTTTATTATGTCCCTCCTTCTGCCGACTTTGGGCCTCCAGTTTCAATAATTGTGACTTTAGACTATCCATTTGGAATTGTTTTTTCTTCTTTAAATAGGCCTGCATTGCTATGTACTTTCCTCTTAGAACTGCCTTTGCTGCATCCCACAGAAGTTGGGGCATTCTGCTGTTGTCATTTGTTTCCATATGTTGCTTGTTCTCTGTTTTAATTTGTTCATTGATCCATTGATTATTAGGAGCATGTCATTAAGCCTCATGTGTTTGTGAGCCTTTTTGTTTTCTTTGTACAATTTATTTCTAGTTTTATACCTCTGTGATCTGAGAAGTTGGTTGGTAGGATTTCAATCTTTTTGAATTTACTGAGGCTCTTTTTGTGGCCTAGTATGTGGTCTATTCTGGAAAATTTTCCATGTGCACTTGAGAAGAATGTGTATCCTGCTGCTTTTGGGTGTAGAGTTCTGTGGATGTCTGTTAGGTCCATCTGTTCTATTGTGTTGTTCAGTGCCTCTGTGTCCTTACTTATTTTCTGTCCGTTTGATCTGTCCTTTGGAGTGAGTGGTGTGTTGAAGTCTCCTAAAATGAATGCACTGTATTCTATTTACTTCTTTAATTTTGTTGGTATTTGTTTTACATATGTAGGTGCTCCTGTGTTGGGTGCAGAGATATTTATAATGGTTACATGCTCTTGTTGGACTGACCCCTTTTTCATTATGTAATGTCCTTCTTTGTCTCTTGTGACTTTCTTTGTTTTGAAGT